ATTTCAGGGCTGTGAGCTCTGCCATTTTTTGCATATCCTGAACTGGATTAGAGCAGTATCTGTTATGTGTGTCAGGGCATGACAGTCAGCAGTATGCTAGGGTTGCATGTAAATTGGAGAAGTATGAAAAGGCAACTGCAAACTGCACTATTTGTTACTAAAAGTTGTAAGGAGCAAGATTATCTGTTTTGTACCTTCCTCAAGGCAGTCTAATTTTTCTATAGAGGAAGGTAGGGAAGGAGGTGGTTTCTTTCACTATTTCTGCTATTTTAATGTCCTTCTCTGATTCAACTGTATCTCATTCTTTTCCTGTTCACAGTATGTTGTGCATTTCTGTATCACAAGGCTTTTAACTTTTTATAACTACCATTAACATAACAAGTTGTTTTTTTCTTTTGTTTGGTTTGGTTTTTATTTGGTAAGGCTAAAAACCAATTCTACTAAGATTCTAGGCTTGTCCTACCTGAAACCCACAGGACACACACAGCCCAGCTCAGCTCACACTTCCGCCTGCTCACCCTGCCACATCATCTGCCTCCTGGAGCAGCCCAGCCTGGCCAAGGGGCACAGGGAGGGCGTAGTGCAGTGCAGACAAATAGCATGGCCCCATGCTTAATGCTTTGCAAGAAAATGGTGTCAGCTTTCAAAGATTACAATTTGAAAATAGATGAATTTGGAAAGGGTCTAGAGGCCCAACAGGAGAATGATCCTGGGATGGAACAAAGTATTCTGACAGTTTTAAAGGCTGTAGATGCAAATAAATGTTCCTTTCATCTTATTTTATTGATTTTTAATTAGGGAGAAACCTTGCTAACTTATCTTGTTTTACAAGGATTTGTTTTGCAAGCAGGTGTTCCGCTTGGGCTCTGTATCATGTGTTGGCTGCATGGATACAGCATGCAGGTGGAAAAAAATGCTGCAGACTCTGAAGAGAGTAGAAGCAGGAGAGAGGCTGCAGTGGAGGAGAGAGGAAAGATGCACTTTGAAGCAGGGAATGCCCTGCTGACATGTTTTGAAAGCACTGCAGGCAGACTCCTTCCCAAAATTTCATCCCTCTCTCAAGGTCAGTAAGTAATATTGTGCTTGCTTAGAGAGATTCTGGTTTAGCTTACTAGTGCTCCTATTGCACTTGCTTAGGGAGTTTCTGCTTGCCATCTTCTGGGGCTATCAAAAATGGATACCTGTGTGTGTGCACATGCCAAATAAAACTCATAACTCTGTGCTGCTCTGACTGTGTAGTTTGCTTGCCTCTGCTCCTGAGACACCCCGTCTCTCCAATGCAAACATATCCTGAAACAATATTATAGGCAGAAACACATTGCAAAATGTGCTGCACATCAAGAAATGCTTGTCACCTTAACAAATAACTTTGAACCAAGTTAAAACTCAAAGGGAATCCTTAATAAAACTTGATAATGTGGCAGCAAATCTGATGGCAAAAAAATCAAAACCATTTTCTGATTGTGAGTTTGTCTCACAAGACTGTAGCCAGCTGAACTGAAGAAATATGAAAGTCTTTTGAACAAAATTTGGAGAGTTAAACTGCTAATATCAATTCCTGTGCTTTGGCTGTGGGTGAAAATGCTCATGTTAAATACAATGGCTCAACTAATCATTTTTGTTAGAGGCATTCATAATGAATTTCGATATCAGTGAAGAAATGGCTCCTCTGGTGGCACTGAAAAACAAATAATTCTCCTGATTTATGTGAAGTAGAAAAAAAACCAAAACAACATTAGAACAATTTTCTTTAACCCCTGTCAATATTTCTGGTACATCTACTGACAGTGCTCCAGTGGCAGTTGGTTAAAAAAAAGAAAGTGAGACTTATAAAATTAAGATATAATATTCTTACGTGCTTAGCAGAGGTTTGCTGGGTATAGAGAAGTTTTCCTTGGTTTTCTTCGTCTTTTTCCAATTGACGTAATTTTCTCCTCCCTCAACCCCCATCGAACTGCGTTTTTCCTCTGCCATCACGGCAGGGAGAAAAGCGCCAGAAGCTGCGGCGCGGCTGCGCGTCGAGTCAGTCGTTGTTGTTTCCGCGGTTTCCGGTGCCCCCTCGTGGCCAATAGGTGGAATTGCGGCCGTGTTTGTTTGGCGCCGCAGGCACTAGGGCGCATGCGCACAGGCACGCGGCGCTCGTGCTCCTCGCTCTGCGCAGCGAATCCGCCGAGCTTTGTTATGGTTAATCCTCGAGGCAACAGAGCGCATGCGCCAGGACACTCATAACTAGCATTCAAATCTACAAAGCCTCGAGGTGCAGGCGAGCAGTCGATTCCTGGAGCCTGCCTCGGGAACAGACTATTGTGGCTTCGAGCGGCCCCTGCGCCCCTCGCACGCGTAATGAGTAGTCGAAAACAACGCACGCGTAGGTGAGTACTCGAAACTAATCAAGCGAAATAACCTGCTGGGCCGGGGCTGTTCGCCGCTATGTTCGCTATTACCTGGAGGACTGATGACCATAGAGAGGTGGCGGATTAGCTGAGTAGAGCGGTTAGAACGGCACTTCCGCATTTTGTACGCGCATGCGTTGTGGTGCTTGCGGGACGCAGCTGCCGTTCCGTGCATTGGCCAGGAGGTGGCAACAGAGACCACGGAAAGAACTTTTCCGACGGGACTGGGGGAGCGGCGGCGCAGTGCCTGGCGATCCGGTGTGTGTGCTGTGAGGACGGGAGAGGAGCACGAAGTTAGATGTGGAGGGGTTGTGGGGGGAAAGACGAAGAAGAAAGAGGGAAACTACTCCAAACCCAGGAGAGCTGTGCCAAGTGCATATAAATAGCTTTAAAAAAAAAAAAAAAGAGTTTTTTTTCTTTTTTTCTTCTTTCTTTTTGCCAGCATCTGTTGCATTGTTTCTAAATGTTGAAATACCAAAATGCAACTACCCAGCAAATTTAACGATAATGGGATTAGAGCCCATTGGCAGAAAGTGCAGGGCCATATGAATGTTCACTCAGCCTCTGTCTTGTTTATACTTCCACGTATTTTTCTTCAAAAGCCTTTCTTTCCCTGCGGGTTTCATTTTTGGCTTTTTGTTCTTTTCATGCCATAAAATGGGAAGTTTTAGGTGCTAGCAAGTCTAAGCAGCCAGATCTAGCACAAAGCTGCAGTTTTGAGTTCTGTGTGGACCATGACAGTGTTCCTACAAAGATTACCAAAAACTGCAGTTCTCCCCCTAAGTTTACAGATGGAAAAAAATTAATTCACCTGCCTAGAAAGAATTGATGTGTCACAGCTGCCATTGGCAAGATGGCCCGAGAGTTGTGTGGGTGCATCTGGCTGTGAGAGGAATGTCTCTGTGGAAGGACAGCTTGTTCCCCCCTCTGATGGGGGCAGCTTCTCAGCTGCCCTACCCTGGTCTTCCTGCAGCTGGACAGATAGGCCAGAAGGGCACAGGGTACGCAGACCCTCCCCGGCCAGCTGCAGCAGTCGCTCCTGCCAGCACTCCCTTTCCCCCCGAACATTTGCATTTTGCAGGCTGGAGCCCTGTGTGGCACAGGAGGAGAGAGCTGCAGGCAGAAGGAAAACAAGGTGCTGGGATTCCTGCAGCTCGCTGCCAGCTGTCTTCTCTGACATTTTGGGGGTGGGCAGGGGACTGTGGGAGCACCCTCAAGGCTCTGGGCAGGAGGGAAGGAAGCAAAGATGCAGCTGCAGGCAGCGGGCTCTGAGCTGGAGAAGTGCGGCCGGGCACTGTGCAGCTCCCAGTCTGGGCACACGGAGCAAATTTGTCCAGCTGAGGGCTGCAGGGCTGTCCTTATCAAGCACTCCCCCATCGCACAGGTCTGCAGCGACTGCACCAGTTGCTCGAGCTCTTCCCACTGCAGGAGCTCAGAACTGACAAGAACCCTGACCAAAGCAGGTAATGGCAACATATGCACACAGATACACACCTGATACAGAATCTGGCACTTGACAGTCCTCCCAGAGCTTCTTGCTGCTTTTTAGGCTGCTCTACAGCTATTCTGTCCTTTTCCCCCTCATTCCCCTGTCTTGTCCTTTCCTTCACCCTGTGCCTTCTACTACTTAACTACTGGAAGAACTGCATTATTTCATCCCACTCTTCAGTGAGTTTCTATTATTTACCATGTAAGAACAACTTCTTTGTAATGCCTCCCTTGTAGAAAAGTGACGTGTTTATCTTCATTGCCAGCCCTTGATTTCCAGTGCATGTTCAAAATAGTTGATGGGTGAAGGAATGCTGGCTGGTTTACGCTCAGAAAAAAGCCTCCACAAGTTCACATTCAGTACAGTGAGTACACTTTTATTTTTGCTAGATGGTCTGCTGGTTTCTCCAGTCTTCTTATGTAACACGAGGGAACATTCTGTTGTTTGAATTTCTATAACTGCCTATTTTCTGTGTTCAGAGGAGTAGATTCCCTTACATATGGGGTATTTTTAACTGGGTAATGTAACTCAGAGTAATAACACATAAAAACAATCTTCTGTGTTGGTTGTTTGAAAGAAAGCTGTTTATTCATTAGAAATGTTAGAAACATAATAATCCCATTTGGTAGGTAGTTTTTCATCAGACTGTGAAGTTCCGAGTAGAAAATAGCACTTAAGTTCAATTGCATGTTGTAAGCAAGTTTTAATGACATACACCTTTTTAAATATCCCTCAGTAATGCATGCTATTATTGTCCTCAGGACCACTGGATCGCCTTGTCCTAATGGTTCAAAGCATGCGAAAAATCTTTATCTGGAAGAATATGACAACTGAGATTTTTTATTGGTACACGATAGCACAATAAATTCTGTCACCTGTAATTAACTTGACGCCATAGTTCACTGCTGCAGATCTTAATGTAAAGATTGCTGGGGCAATGCTTTCAGGGCCAAAACTTCAGCCAGACTGTTGTGTGTGTGAAGGAAAGCACTGTAAATCTCTGAATTCTGTATGGATGGGGCCTTATAAATATTTCTATAGTTAGTCAAAGCACAGTGATTTTTTTTTCCTGCAGGTTAAATACTGCTGATTAGCTGCTTACTTTTTAGACAGTTCTCTGTCCTTAGTATTTACATGAGTCTTTTTCTGACCTGCTGTAAGCCCGTTAGTCCAAACCAGATAAGGAGTCTAATTTTAGAGCTGGAGATAGTGTAACACTGTTACTAGTTGATACTTGCTATTTCATTGCATTCTAGGATTATGTAATAAACAAAAGAACTGCCTCCTAGAAGAGAATGACTTATTAATTACAATACAGTAGTGGTCTTGTTTTTGGTGTTATTATTGCATATGTATATCTGCCTTTGCACTGTTAGTTCTAGAAGATACTGTCTACAGGTATTGCTGACAATTTTAAAAAAAAAATTACAATTCTTATTTATTCTTGGAAATATATTTCTTGCTTGCTATGAATCAGTGAATACTGAGCCATGATATTTTGCTGTGCTAGTGCACTTTATTGAATGTATCAAAGTACATAAGACATATTGATATTGTAACAATTAAACACAGAAACAAAGACTGTGTCTAAAAAACAATTCCAAAGTTTTAGGAAGGAAGGATTATTATAGAATTCTGAGACTGCTTGATACAAGAAGAAAGTGGTTTGGGCAGATTCACATAATTTGACTTAACATACTCATTCTATATAAAAGAATTTAATCTCAAAGACTGGCAAGCAGAATTTTTAACAGGAACACTACTATGCAAATCAAAGAGCAATTCTGTTACCATGCTATGTACTAACTGCCAGACACTTGTTTGCTTTACAAAATATGCATTAATTTATCAAATTACCCCACAAAACAAACAAAACTGAAGAAAACCTATGCATTTAAAATGATTAGGATTTGACAAAGAAAAAATATAAAATGTTCAAAAGTAGCGAATCCAATTTTTGTTTCTTCAGAAACAAGCTCATTTCAGGGAAAAGCTATTAGATACTGCTATGTAAAGAAAATACAATTTATAATGTTCAGTGTTACAAATAAGAACTAATTTTGAAAAGCTAATTAGTGGATTTAATGATGGCATAACTACATCAGCGGATGAGGAAAATGCTTTATGTCATCTATCTTAATGTCAGTAGAGACTTGGACATAGTCCCCATCATATCCTTCTTTTCAAATTCAGAATGTGTGGATTTGAAAGGTGGACTGATGAACAAAGTTTAGTCTAGTCATACCTTGAGAGTGGTGGTCATTGGCTCAATGTCTGGATAGACAAAGTAACAAGTGGTGCTCCTCAGGGGTCAGTACTTGGACCAATGCTCTTTAATATCTTCAGCAGTGACATTGACAGTGGGATCAAGTACATTCTCATCAAGTTTGTGGATGACAACAAGCTATGTGATAAGGTTAAGATGACTGAGGTATGGGATGCCACTCAGAGAGACTTAGCCTTTGTCAGTGGGACAAGGAGAACCTCATGAGGTTCAAAAAATCCAAGTGCAAGGTACTGCACATGGGTAATGGCAACCAACCCCTTGTATCAATACAAGTTGAAGGATGTAAGGACAGAGAACAGCCCTGCCACAGTGGGCATAGGGATACTAGTCAATAGCAAGTGGACATGAACTAGCAGTGTGTACCCTCACAGCCCAGAAAACCTCTCCTGTCCTGGACTGCACCAAAAGAATGGTGGTCAGCAGGTCAAGGTAGATGATCCTGCCCCTCTGCTCTGCATTGGTGAGACCACATCTGGAGTACTCCATCCTGACGTGGAGTTCTCGAGTACAGGAGAGGCATGGATCTGTTAGAGCATGAGCAGAAATGGAATACCTCCCCTGTGAGGACAGACTGAAAGAGCTGGGACTGTTCAGCCTGGAAAAGAGAAGGCTCTGGGGAGATGTGATAGTAGCCTTTCAGTATCTAAAGGAGGGCTATAAGGAGAAGAGGACAGACTCTTCAGCAAGGTCTGTTGCAGTAGGACAAATGTAAATGGTTTTAAAATATAAAAGGATAAATTCACATTAGATACAAAGAAGTTTTTTTTTTACTATGAAGGTGGTGAGGCACTGAAAGAAATCACCCAGAGAGGTGGTGGATGGATCACCTGTCCTTGGAGACATTCAAGATCAGGCTGGCCCGGGCTCTGAGCAACTTGTTCATATTCATTTCAAGGGAGTTGGATTAGATGACTTTCTAACTCAGAAGATTCTGTAATTTTATGATAATACTAAACTCAAGTAATATAAGTTACCCAGCAAAGATATTTATTTCTTGCATTTAATTTTGGTATGAACCAGTTAACACTGAACTAAGCGAAGATCACCGAAATATTTCTAGTGTTTAGGCACTTTGAAACATTGGTCACAGTTCTTAAAGTATAAATTTAAGGATCTATATCTATACTTAGAATCAGGGATAAATGTTCGGGTGTTTTTTTTCTGATAATATCTTCCTCTCTCCAGTTGCCATACACTTTCTAAAAAAAAAAAAAAAAAAAAAAAAAAAAAGTGTTTAATTTATATATTATTTATAAACATACAGAGATGTTTTCATCTTTGTAGACACTAATAGGTAGCTGATTCCAAGGTACACATGTCCTTAACCAAAGTTAAAACAGGATCACGACTTTCTCTCTGTTCTATTAACAGCAATTCTGTAATAGTTTTATAGCACCTACCTGAATCAGTATATCAGTATCACACATTCCGCTTGGCTAACGAGCTTCTTTTTGCAGAACCTTAATCCAAAAACAATAAAAGTGGAAAGAAATTCCCTGTTTCACTTCAGCAGACACTGAAATATATATATAAAAAATTCTCCTTCTTGATATTTTGCCTACTTTTTTGTAACTAACTTTTTTCACTACGTAACTGTATCAAAACACTACAAAAATAATATCCACTGTACTGTTTGCACACTGTTTTGAAATGTAGTATTTATGATAAATGAATTTTACATGAAACCATTCTATTAAGCATGTTAAAATAACTGAAATTTGATTTGTCCCAAGAAAACATATGTAACTAAGCTTCTGCTTGGCTTTAAGATGCACACACATTATTTCTTTGACTTGGAAACACAAGCATGTGTGATACTTTACTGAGTTATTTCAGCTTTCTGGGAGCTGTATACTAATGCTGTGTCGTCAGAAAACTTCTGAAATGAGGGTTTGATACTCCGACATCAGTGAACAGCATAGTGCTACTGATCTGTAACCTCTCAGCAGCAAAATAGAGAAATCCATGTAATTGATTCAGTGTCTGTGAGGAGAAGCAACACCTTTTAATACACCACCTCAGAGAGCTGGAAGAAAAAATAGACAAATTTTATTTTACCTGCTTCATCAAAGTACATACAATGGAATTTGTTTGAGAAGAATGAACTCCTTTATATTGCAGATGGAAGGACAGAACCTGCCTGTACAAATCTATCCTACGCTGACCTAAGCAGAAGCATTAGAGGTCATATAAATGTTCCTTGTCTTAGTTACTGAATCTGGTTTCTGTAATCTGAAGACACAATGAAGGTAAGGCTGCTTACACACTATTTTCAGTTGTTTTTCAGGATAATGACATAAAAATGAATTAACTGACTCTCCTCTCCTTACACTCTATCAATTGAAGATACTTGAACTGGAAAAGCAGTACGTGCAAGATTTATTGTTCCTGATGGAATCTTAGTCCTGCTGCCTTTTATATCCATTCTGATATCACTGAATCAACCTGAAGTCCTATGGATAAAAGAAGGAATTATTTTAGATTTTCCCGAGGCTCAGCCTTCATCACAATATAAGATATCCAGTTGTATCACCACCATCCCTGCAACTCTCTTCCTACTCTCAAGTTTACTGGATTTCTTGTTATTTATTGATTTCCAACTTCCAAGGTCTGCGTAAGATACCTTTCTGGTTAAGCTCCTGTACTGATCTCTCTCTTTTTTGTTATTATTATTATTATTTTTTTTTTTTCCTTCTGTAAATTAATGCTAGTTAGTGATTGCTACTTGGGTCACTATCATCTTCTGTTCTCTCATCCCAAGTGTATTACAAGAATGAAAAACTATTTAAGGTTGAACTGTACTAACTCTGTCTTCCTTTACTGCACTTACCTGAAGTGCTCTAAAAGGACTCAATGAAGGACAGGGAAGTATTTTCAAATTATACCTGTGAGTGATGACCAGAGAATAAGAAACCTCCGACCTGAAATTAGAGGAGCTGTTGACACTGGCTACAATTCTGAATAGTAGTTCAAAGCCAAAGAAGAAACAATAATATTATGTCATTCACTGGGGAAAAAAAAAAAAAATAATCCACTGTTAGATTTTTAGCAAATAAACAAGTATATATGATTACAGAGAGGGAAAAAAATGGATTTTTGGAACTGTGTCTAAGTTTGAATAAAATGCTTTTATGTGTTTACAGAATTATTTTAAAGGACGATTGTTGATCTGCTGAAGCCTTCTTGATTCTACATTTTTCTCAGTTTGAATTATAAAAACTGTAATTGTATATTCTGAACCTAGAAGAGAAAATCTAGAAGGCTGTTCTGATTTTTTCTAACCATCTGTTGAAAAACGTCATGAGCACTTGTTTATCTGCACTTCTTTAAGTTCTCAACATTGATTGTATTTCATTTTCTGTATCTAATTACTCTTCAGAATGATATGTTTATACTACTGGAAAACTTCTATTTTAGAGTGGAATTATGCATACAGTATTCATATGGATCTGATCAGAACTGAATAATGCAGATATTTTTATAAGTACATCTTTTGAAAGGAAAAAAGTGTCATAATATATTTAAAAACCCACCACCTTTCAAGTAATAATGATAGTATCTTTTGTGAGCTGGAAGTTCAATATGAATATTCATTAAAAATAATGATGATATCCTGACTGTCTTGTGGGAATATTACTGTAGCATCAGAAATTCCTCCTGAATTCTTCAACTGAGTTTATGCTGCCATATTTATTCTAAAATTCTGGAAATCTTGTGAAGGCAAGATGCAAGTGAGATTTCCAGTATATGCAGAACTGCATCCCAGCCTTATATATGGTAAGTGCAACATTTGCTATGTTGAATTATTATTGTTATTATTATTGTAATTACTGTTGTTGTTGTTGTTGTCATTGTTACTGTTATTATTGTTAGGTTGCTTGTTTTAGCAAAGACATAAAGTGAAACAGGTAAGTAAGACAGGGATCTCCTGGAAGGAGTCCAGTGGAGGACCATAAAGGTGATAAAAGGCTTGAAGCACCTTCCTTATGAGGAAAGGTTGAGCGACCTAGGGCTGTTCAGCCTTGAGAAAAAAAGACTCAGAGGGGATCTGGTCAGTGCCTATAAATATCTAAGGTGAGGAAAGCAAACAGACAAGGCTAGGCTCTTTTCAGCAGTGCTTGGTGGTAAAACAAGGGGAGATGGCCACAAACTGAAGCACAGGATGTTCCACACACATGTGCATAAGAACTTCTTGACAGTAAGGGTAATGGAGCACTGGAACAGGCTGCCCAGAGAGTCTGTGGAGTCTCCTTCTCTGGAAATGTCAAGACACACCTTGATGCCTAGCTGTGCAACCTGGTCAAGGGAGCATGCTTTGGTAGGGAAGTTGGACTAGATGATCTCTAGAGGTTCCTTCCAGACCCTACAGTTCTGTGACTCTGTGAAATACGTGAGTTGGAGTTATGATAACAGGAAGATTTAGTGTTAGTTTTCTTAAGATCAAATACAAAAATAAAGGAAGGTTGAGAACATCATTTTCCTAATATTACTTTTCTCTGTTTAAAGGAATGGTAAATGTGTATGCAAATGTTCTTATACTGAGTCTTTGCTGAAAATTGGAGCTACTTAATACAAGTGCTGAATTTGGTTTCTTCTTCACAGAAACTTTCCATATACTGACGTATAAGAATGCATTACTCAGTGTAACAGGTACAGTAGTCGTTGTATAACTCTTCACTTGAATTAGTAGAGCTTGCTCAGATTCAATGATTACTTGATATTTAGCTAGCTTAAACAGAACTGAGATCACAGGAAAAAGGAGAGCATGAAGAAGTCATCAGAATTATCTAGCTGTGATTAGAAAAGATACTTGCTTACATTCCTGAAGTCATCCCCTCATTTTCATGTTTACTGTCACTCTTTAATTGTTTTTTAATGTTTCTTTAAACAGTATTAAAATGAATGGAAGTCAAAGTCCAGTTTTAACGCTTCACAAGACGTTGTGTTGTTTTGTATGCATCATGTATTATATATGTATTAAATTTCTCCAAGCTAGCCTGAAGATTTACTAACTGTACTTTGAGGCACATTTTGTATCACAGCAATTTAAAAAAATAAATTGAAATTGTCTATTATGCCGTATTAGTGGATGTAGAAATATGAGTTCATACCTTTCATTGAACTGTTTTAAAAGCCTACTTCCATTATTCAGGGGACAAATGGCCACTTAAGTTCTACCAAGATCATTCTACCATCCAGTGTTCAACCTGCATGAAGTCTAATTATCCATGCAGCTAGAGAAATGTGAAAAAGCTGAAGCACAGATCTTCTACATAACCTACTTTGCAGTATTTACAATAACATGGACTAAAACATTAGATTGGTACTCATGTAAAGTTTAATGTTTATCGTAGTGTCTCTGCACTTGACAGTAGCTAAGTAAGCCCATACATCTGTTATATTTCTTTCATGCTGCCCATGTGTCCGGCCTCTGTGCCCATCAGCAGTAATGGTCCTCAGTGCTATTACTGTAATTCAAAGGCATTAACCAGAAATTAAATGCATATTAGTTATATAGTACGAAATTATGTTAGCTGATGTGTTAAAGGCTGCAAACCACAATCTCAATAGCATTTTACAAGTACTACTGTGACAGATAAGAAACATAAGAATAGGTCTTTAGAAATATTGTGCCTGAAAACAATTCTGAAAGCACACTGATATTCTGAAAGCATTGTTGGCTATCTGTCATCATGGTTTATCAGTAACTGACTGTCCTCAAATTCCAGACAGCTTGTCTAATCATCTCCTGGTTTACTTACAGATTTCAAATGCTCACCATTCCTGATACAAGCCATTGGCTTTCTTGGCTACCTGGGCACACTGCTGGCTCATATTCAGCCAACTGTCCATCAGCACACCAAGGTCCCTTTCTGTCAGGCGGCTTTCCAGCCACTCCTCCCTAAGCCTGGGGTTGCCTGGGGTTGTTGTGACCAAAATGCCGGACCTGACACTTGATTCTATTGAAACTCATACAGTTTACCTTGGCTCATCGATTCAGGTCCCTCTGTAATGCCTTTCCTCCCTCTGGCAGAACAACACTCCCTACCAACTTGGTGTTATCGGCAAACTTACTGAGGGTAAGTTATCTCATCCCCTCATCAAGATCATTAATAAGGATGTTAAATAGAAGCGGCCCTAGAACAGAGCCCTGGGGGACAATGCTTGTGACTGGCCTCCAACTGGATTTAACTCCACTGACCACAGCTCTTTGAGCTCGGCCATCCAGCCAATGTTTCATCCAGCAGAGCGAATGCCCATCCAAACCATGGGCAGCCAGCTTCTCCACGAGGATGCTGTGGCGGGCAGTGTCAAAGACTTTACTGAAGACCACATCAACAGCCTTACCTTCATCCACTAAGCAGGTCATCCTGTCATAGAACAAAATCAGGTTTGTCAGACAGGATCTTCCATTCATAGACCCATACTGCCTGGGCCTGATCCCATGGCTGACCTTTAATTGATCCATGGTGGCTCCCAAGATTATCCGTTTCATGACCTTCCATGGCACCAAGGTGAGACTGATAGGTCTGTAGCTACCAGAATCATCTTCCTGGCCCTTTCTGAAGATGGTCTTCATATCTGCCAGTCTCCAGTACACCCGGACATTCCCAGTTAGCCAGGACTGTTGAAGGATGATGGAGTGTGGTTTGGCAACCACATCCACCAACTCCCTTAGCACTCCAGGATGCAATCCAACTGGCACCAAGGAGTTGTGAGTGTCCACGTTTCAGAGCAGTGTCCAGCTTTTTCCTCTTCCTCTTCCTTTTCCTTTTCTTTTTCCTTTTCCTTGAACTAGGTCATTATTGGAAAGATTGTTGTTGTTTTTTTTTTTTAAGGATGATATTTCTATTCAGTGTGTAAGCAATCAGAAATGTTTTACTAGTGAAAAGATAGAGCACATTATTTGGAATTGATAGCTAATTTATTTTATTATGATTACCTGGAATAACTTTTGCCACAAGATTTTAATTTACATTTCTCTAATACTACTGATTTAAAGGTGACTTCAACATTCCTCAGCAGAAGCTCTTTGTGAACAATAAATCTATTTTCTCTAACAGCAGCATAGTGTCTTAGTCTCCTACATGAATGAGGTTGTAAACCAAAGTCCTATAGAAATATATCTACGCAAAGATCATTCCCAGTGTAGTATTTTTACAGCACTACTAGTAACTGTATAATTCATATGGTATGGTCTGCTCCAGTCTTGGATAAAAGAGCTAAATATTTTAATTTAAGTGAATGATTTTGTTAGGTATCACAAGTTCAGTCCCTGCTGGTGTTACGCTGCCAATATGTCTAAAATGTACTGTAAGCTATTTCTGTTTGTGTGTATGAACTGAGCAAAGAACAGCAGTAATGTGCTCAGTGTCAGTGCATATACCATGACTGAGAGCAAAATAAATTATTTTCTTCAGATGGTAGAGGCCAAAGTAAGAAGTTAAGTTTTATTTTGCTCAGGATTTGAATGACGGTACTATAAATCATGGTATCAAAATAATAGGCTGATCCTAAATTCTTGTACTGGATACAGAGATTGCCTTCATTGCCCAGAAGTAGTGCAGATTGTAGAATTTTTTTACAACTATTGTTATTGTTATTATAAATAGTCATGTGTTATTACCTAAACCCTGATGGTGGAGCAACAATTTGACTAATTTTTTTTTCTTACAATAATGTCATTTAGATACGGTTAAAATAGTATTCTGTTTTAAGTTATTGCAGACTGTAACATTTCAGTGCACTGAATATGAGTTTAACAATACCTAACCAATGAAGTTAATTTGACTGAAAAATGTACTACTTGTCTTTTAAAGAATAAGAATGAAAGATTGTAAGGGATTTGAAGATAATGTGGAATTGCTTAGGAAGTAATTTTTGGGCTTCTACCTGTATTTTGCTACCAGTTAAAATCTCCACAAACATTCAGTTATTTTTTTCCTGCATCTGAAAATTTAACAGTGTGAATTCATTTTTATATGGAATTATATCTAATAGAATGTCTATAAACCTTGAACATGCATTGGGTTTTATTTCAGTGAAATACGTATTTTATTGTCAATAGTCTTCTCAGGAATCAATTGTCAGTGTGCATGTCTGTTACATGGAAGGAAATAATTTATGTGTCTTCAGCACATAACATCCTTTATAAACATTCCATGTGATTTTTTGATAGCAAGCAAAAGCATGACAGATGAATGCAGAAGAGATATTTGGGGAATTTTCATGATAATATTTACTCACTATATGTAATAAGACTCCAAAGTCACTGTAAATAACTGGAATGTTACAGATATTTCAGAAAGTTACAGCAGTGCACAGTGCATGCTAGATATAACATACTGACATAACTAAGTATAATACAAAGTAATCTATTCTTTGCATTGACCTGCTCCTTGAGCTTAACAATGTTGAACAATCAGTATTCAGAACAGCAGTTTGTGATAGTTTAGATGGTAGCTGTAGGTTAATGCATGGCCTCTGAGATCCAAATGGCTGGCATACTTCAGGCAAATAAAATAATAAAATACATGAAAAAGAATATCCACTAAGATGCTAATAAGCCCAGTTGCCGTGAGAATATGTTGTCATTACAAGGCTTCTATATTTTTTTTTTTCCAAAATTGTAAGAATTAATGAGAACAGTACATGTGAAAAGGCTTAGGATCTATCAGTTTCTCCAAACGACAATATAAACACATTTTCTATTGTTCAGCATGATTTTTTTCCTAATTATAAACTAAGCAAGCTAAGAGTTAGAAAAAAGCGTGCATGTTAAAGCTTAATATTAAAATAATGAAGGTTATGAAGTCGAAAAAATGGAAGGTGTGGTAAGAAAGAGTGCAGGAGTGGATGATTAAAATAGAAAAAAATTGAAACCTTAGTCAAATCTTTGATTTCAACGGGGGTTTCACTTGAACAGAAAATAAATCAAAATAATCAGGGTTTCACAATTTCAATTATTATTATTATTAATGGCAGAAATATGGATAGCAATTTCAGTCTATCCAATGTTTTAATTCGCCAAGTACTAATGAAGCGGCCTACTATAAAGTGAGTAAAATCAGACTGAAATAACAGGATTTGGAATGGAGACAGAACTTACAATGTTTATTTCCTACAGTTCTTCAAGTAATAAAAATACCTAGGCAGGTTTCCTCCATCTTGAATGCAGGATTGCATATATGCAATACTGTGAAACAAGAACATTCTGCCTCTAAAACAATTTTGCATACTTCCAAATTAGCTATGTGCATGAGAAAGCAGTATGAAAATCACCTTTACCTTGCTGTACACTCGTTTATCTTGAACTCAAAACGTTCTTTTGAAAACTTGCTGAAATAAAGAATATGAATTATGTTTCAGCTGCACTTTCAAGAACATATTGCTGAACAATATACTGAATTTGTTATGCAAAAAGTTCTTAGATTTAGCAGCTTTCTAGATAGACTATCATACACGTTAAAAAAAAGAAAAAGAAAAAGAAAAAAAAAAAAAGGAGAAAATGTTACTAAAATCCAGAGCTTTTCTTTCAGTGAAAAAGAGTGTAGTCAGCATTCTAATAACAGCAATGTAGTGATGAGGATTTAAGAATAGAATAAAGTGAAATGTTGCACAACAAATTACAAACTACACTGAAAAGATGACCATGCCACAGGAAATAAATAAATGAACAAACAAACAAACAAAAAACACCAAAAAAAACCCTGGAAAATAAACACATAACTGCAATCAAATTTAAGCAGGTCTGGAAACACCAAATGACCAATACAAAGGTGAGCTGCAAATTCAAATCTGACATCAATAAATCTTGCTCACAGAACTGCTTTCCCAGTATCACAGAAGCACACAAACACCAAAGTTGGAAAAGACCTACAAGATCATCCAATCCAACCATCCACCTATCACCAATAGTTCTCACTAAACCATGTCCCTCAACACAAAATCCTTGAAACATTCCTTGAACGCCTCCAAGGTCAGTGACACCATCACCTTTCCGAACAGCCCATTCCAGTGCCTGACCACTCTTACAGAGAAGCAGTATTTCCTAACATCCAGCCTGAATCTCTGGTGCAGCTTGAAGCCATTCCCTCTAGTTCTATGACGAAAGAAAAAGCTGACCCCCAGCTAACTGCAACCTCCCTTCAGGTAGCTATAGAGAGCAATGAGGTCTCTCCTGAGCCGCCTCTTCTCCAGACTGAACAATCCCAGCTCCTTCAGCCACTCCTCATCAGGCGTGTGCTCCAGACCCCTCACCTTCTTTGTTGCCCTTCTTTGAACCCGCTCCAGAGCTTCAGTGTCTTTTCCCAGGTTTTTTTCCTCTACACAGTCTTCCAGCCACTCCACCCCAAGCCTGGGGCTTTTGTGGCCAAAGTGCAGGAATCACAGAATCACAGAATCACCAAGGTTGGAAAAGACCTTCAAGATCATCCAATCCAACCGTCCACCTATCACCAATAGTACTCACTAAGCCATGTTCCTCAACACAAAATCCAACCGTTCCTTGAACACCTCCAGGGTCGGTGATTCTGGCATTTGGTCTTGTTGAATCTCATCCCATTGGCTTCAACCCAGCTCTCCCGCCTGTCTAGATCCCTCTGGAGGGCCTCGCTACCCCCAGGCAGATCAACACTTCCAGCCAACTTGGTGCCATTCACAAACCTGAGTGTGCACTCAGTGCCCTCATCCAGGTCATCAATCAAGATATTGAAGAGGACCAGCCCCAGCACCGACCCCTGGGGAACACCACTCACGACCGGTCGCCAGCTGGATTTAACTCCATTCACCACCACTCTCTGAGTTCGGCCCTCCAGCCAGCTCCTCACCCAGCCAAGAGTGCACCCATCCAA